ATGCGGCCCGCCCCTGAAAAAAAATCGCTGCCATTGGTCTGTCCAATCCGGCCCGCCCCTGAAAAAAAATCGCTGGGCGTGGCGTAATTGCCCTGTGCTGCATGGCCCCCAAAACTGCAAAACAGTGCGGAGCGATCTAGGGGTAGGAAAGAAAAGAAATTTGCAAAGGCCTTGGCTGGGAGTTCGAAATCACCTTCGAGTGCGACCTCTCCGAAGGTGAGTCCCCGCCGATCCCCCTTTTTTTTCCGGGGCTTCCAGGCTTAAACTTTGCAAAGGCAAAGCTTGCAGGCTGGAGCGTCTTCCCGCCGAGGAGCGGGAAGGGTTCCACCCGGCGGGCGGGGCGGGCTGCTTGGAGCCACCTAAAGCTAGGCCGCTGCTGGTGGAGCTTTGCCCTGCCTTGGTGCCCCGTTTCCCGGCTCGGCGGTCCTGCTCGGGCGGCACTTTAAAAGCCTGCTCCCAGCACCCGAGCAACTTCCCAGCAACTTTCAGCTTCCTTTTAACTTGCGGGCGCTTGCGCCTGGCCCCGAGCCACGCGGCAGAAGGGAAGCCCGGTGGGCGGGCAGGCTGCTTGGAGAAGGCGACCCGGCGGTGCTCCGGCAGCAGCAAGAGGCAGTTTCGCCCGGGCTCCGCTCAGGTGTCCGGCTGGGGCTGTCAGGAGTTGCTACCGCCGGCGCAGCTCCGTGCGGCTCCAGTCCCGCGTTGCCTTGGGAAGGAAAAGGCAAAACCAGGAGCCGCTGAGCCTGAGCCTCCGGTGCCGCTGCTCCCGTTGCAAACCACCGCCGCGGCTCTTCCTTTTTGCCTTTCCCTTCCCGAGGCAATGCGGGACTGGAGCCGCGCGGAGCCGCACCGGCGGTAGCAACTGCTGACTCAGAGGGCCTCCGAGGGGAGGGGAGCCTCCGAGGGGAGGGGAAGGAGGAGGGGAGGGGGGGCCATTCCCAAAAAATCTTGTGCTGACCCAGCCCGTCTGTCAAATTTTAAAAGTCAATGCGGCCCCCGAGCCAAAAAGTTTGCCCACCCCTGATCTATATCGTCCGTCTCTATCACTATAACCTCCAGAACTGGAGAGATGATGCAAGACTTGGTCCAATGTCTAGAAGCTGTGAAGAACTGGATAGAAAAGATCAGACTTAGAAAGAATCTCAACAAGATAAGATTGCCACTTGTCCAGAATTTCTCTGGTTCCATCTTAACTCCAACTTCTGCTGTACATAGATAGCATTTCCCCTAAAAGAGCAGGTGCTCAATCTGAGGATTTGTGCACTGTTCAGAGTCTATGAGACTATGACTCTGTGAACTGCACTGGTTGCCACTTAGCTTGTAGGCCCAACCTGTGTTCATGACCCAGATCCTTGCTGCCTGTTTGTTCTAAGTAGAACCTGCTCATCTGACTGATAGGATGTGCTGAGGATTCTCCCCAGGGTGGGCTTCAGACGGTTTGTGCCAGTTCGGCCGAACCGGGTGTTCATTTTACATATGGTTCAGTGAACCAGTAGTCCCAATGACTGGCTGCCCCACCCCCACCGTGCCCTTCCCTTCCCAACATAGTCCCCATATACCTGTTTTGGATCGCAGGTAAGTGCAGGGCCCATGTGAAGGTTCAGGGAGGGCAAAAAACGGGCCTCCCAGACTCCAGAAGGCTGGAAACAGATCCATTTCTGGCCTCCAGAGAGCCTCCAGAGCCCGATTAGGGTGAAAATAGCCCCTCTGTGGTCCGTTTTCATTCCCAGGGTGGTACAGGGAGGCTACTAGGTTGAAAACAGGGCACAGGGGGCACAGCGCAGCCCCCACATGGCCCATTTTTGCTTGGTGGTGACTAGGCCTCATCCACCCAGCAACCGGGCAGAGAAACAGTTAAATTATTTGAAGCCCACCCCTGATTCTCCTATACCTCAAGTTATTGAAGGGAAGGGACCCAGAGGCAGGCCCCTTAGGGTCTAGGACAACTCACAGTGCCAACTTTCCCCAGTCAACTCTCCCCAGTCATCTTATCCTGGTCTGACTCTCCCTGGCTGACTTGCCACAGGACAATTCAATGCTTGATAACTCAAGAAAGGGAGAAGTGAATTGCTGTGGGTCTTGTCTTGATTTAGGTTTGAAACTTCTCCAGTTAGAAGTCCTCGAGGTTGGGGCAAGCTGCAATTTTACTTGTCCCTTTCTTGAGTTATCCTGCATTGAATTATCCTACCGCAAGTTATCCTATGGTGAGTTAGCTGTGGCAAGTTGTCCTGCAGCAAGTTGGCTGGGGCAAGTTGACCGGGACAAGTTGAACATGGTGAGGCAGCCAGGGCGAATTGGCTGTGGCAAATTCCAGCCCCCTCACTCTGGAAAAACTTTTCCTTTGGTGGTGATCCATACAAATTTTGATGGTTCATGCAACTCTGGAGACAAATGGCCTTCCTATGGCTAGAAGCAACTCTTTGGCAAAGTGGCTGGTATTCTGTTCAGTTATAGTTTGAGTATATGGTTTAGTATATGTTTTTATATGAAATATAAGCCACTATATTCTTTGATGAAGTGGCATACAAATTGTTGTAATTAATAAATAGATGCTTGAAAAGAATATCAGTATGAAAATGTACTGAATACTAACCAGCCAACCAAGGTGCATGGATGTGAACTTACTCAGCATGGTCACTGTTATGTCTCCAGCCTCAGTAGCTTACAGTATATAAAATATCCTTTCCCAAGAGGTTTCTATGCCCTCCAAGATTCTACTTATCTCGTGCAGTTCAGGGATGTGCTGGGATCTTAGTACAGGAAAAGAAATAAATTAAAAACTCAGTCAGTCTATGTTGACCTTTCAGTTATATGCCAAAGGGCACACTTCAGAAAAATAGGAGAAATTAGATCAAGAAAAATTGATCAGAACTAGGACAAGTACTTAAAATAAATACATTCACAACTAACACGATAATTCCTTATAATTTAACAATATATCATCTTTTTTATTCTAAAGCTATAATCCAGTAGGGGAACTCTAGACTTGAACCTAAGATACAAAATCGCAAGAAAAATTATCAGAAAAAATGTAAAGTGGATATTTTTAAAATAGGATGTTCAAGAATATGTATTTATATTGACCAATTGATCTGGTTACACATACATTTTGAATCTGTAAATTATCAGTATTGATTCCTATTGTCCTTAGGCCAGTGATTTGATTACTAATGGACACTACCTCCAATTCTACTTTTCTCCTACGTAATATGGAGATTTTTAAAAATTAGTTACAAGA